CCGGGGCCAGACTGGGGCCATTTCCTGGCAGCTGCTTGCACTGGGGGCAGCCAGCAGTGGTGAGAGCTGCGGGGCAGCACTTTACCTCCTGCAGCCTGGGCTGGGGTCCAGCATGCCAGCAGAGCCTGAGTCCGGCGGCAGCAGCAGCACGTGCCCACAATGGTGACCTGGTGACCTCTGCCTGGAGTGAGCAGCCCTGCAGCCAGCGAGGCCCACAGGGGCTGCCTACACTGTGCCCTACTTAGGCTTGAGTGCGCTCCAGGGCCCTTGGCTGCAGCGCGCGGGAGCGGTAGACTAAGCAAGCAGGGCCTGGGAGGACTGGGGGGGACACAGCAGTGAGCTCATCCTTGGTTATGGGTTAGAGTCGGGTCACTGTCACCAGACCCTCCTGGGCCACCTCAGCTGCACAGTCTGGCCCTTGCCTGTCAGAGTGGGTCATGCTGGGGGTTGCATCCTCCTGTGGATGCATTCAGGCTGGGGATGCCTGGTGCACAGTGCTGTGGCTGTGACCTTAGGCTGGAGTCTGCTCTGTGAGGGACTGATATGGGGGGTGCTCCAAGTTCTCAAGAAGGGAGCAGAAGCATGAGGGCTGGAGCACTGCCTGGGAACCAGAGTGCTGGGAGTGAGCGTGGAACCCACAAGGGCTGGGGCACAGAGTGCCGAGCCAAGGGAGTTGCGTCGAAGAGGTCGGGAGGGCAGAACGAGGAGGGGGCTGCCAAAGACCTGCTGAGCTGCGCCCCACCGAGGGCGTGGGCACGCAGCTAAATCCTGCACACTGATATGGAAACACTGCTCTGAGCTGTGCCAGAGGCCAGGAGGAACCAGGAGCGGTCCTGGCACCGAGCGAGGAACGGCACAACTGGGGATCAGCTACTCGTGAGGCTGGGGGCTGTGCTTGGGCAGAACCCACACCCCATGACCGCTGCCCTCCTGAGCTCCAGGCCGGTTTCAGGGGCACTGATGGGAGCCGGCGATGTGATCGCACAGCAGCTGGTGGAGCAGCGCGGGCTGCACGGGCATCACAGCCAACGCACCCTGAAAATGACAGCCATCGGCTTCTGCTTTGTGGTGAGTGCTGATGTGGGGGGCACACGTGCCAAGCTGTGGTGTGGGCAGGTGGCTGCCCAGTTCTGTGGGCTCCCCACGGCCCAGGCACCGCGCTCAGCACGCAGCTCTCGCAGGGCCCCGTTGTGGGCAGCTGGTACAGGATCCTGGACCGGCTCATCCCAGGGGCCACGAAAGCCGTGGCTGTAAAGAAGATGATGCTGGACCAGGTCAGTGCCACATGGTGTGGGGATGGGGAGGCAGGACGGTGCTGCCTCCTTCCTGCGACTGCTCGCGGGTGCTCCCAGATTTGCAGGCCCCATCCCTGCAGCTGTGTGCTGTGGGCTCCGGGCACTGCAGGGTCTCAGCCAGGGTCCTGCTGCTCTCTTGCAGGGTGCCTTTGCACCGTGTTTCCTTGGCTGCTTCCTTGCCATCACTGGGGTGGTGAACGGGCTGTCGGTGGAGCAGAACTGGGCCAAGATCCGGCAGGTGCGTGCCTTCTCCAAGGGCGGCTTGGGCTGTTGAGGCCAGGATGCCCACTTGGCTCTAACATTCGTGGTGCTGGCTTTGCCCCTGACCTCTCCGCTCCCTCCTGCCCTCGTGGCTGTTGTGTCCCCAGCCCAGAGCCAGCTGCTGCTGCTGCCCCACTGCTGGGGTGAGGTGTTGATGGCTATGGGACACAGAGCAGCCACTGCAGGGCCAGACCCAGGTCGATGCTTGGTGCAGCATCTTACAGGAGGTGACGAGTGCGGAAGTGGGACATGCTGTGGGGTCCCACATGGGCTGGATGCGGTGCCCCCAACTCACTGTATGCCACGTGTCCCCTCTCCTGGCCACGTCTCAGAGCCATTACCGAGATGGTTCCCATTAGCAGCGATTGCTGGAACCCAGCGCAGGCGCTGAGTCAGCGCAACCGGAGGGTGACTCACCAGGGAGCGGGTGCCCACCCTCCATGGGACGCAGCATGAGGGGACGAAGGGTGCTCACTCATCTGTCGGGGTGCAGCATACGGTGCCTCAGGGCTGTGGGCGAGATCCCCACTCTGCAGGCTGTAACTGGAACGGGGTGCTCCAGGTGGGCTGCGAGCCCCAGGCTCTGCTCTGGGGACACCTTCACCCCTACTTGGGGCACATCTGCCTCTCCCCACGTAGAGGGAGCGTCACAGCACATCCATCACCCCAGCGCTTGCTCTCCTCGTTCTGGGCCGCCGGCCAGTGCCGGGATGAGGCTGGATCCTGGCTGAGTCACAGCCAGGCTGGGCAAGGGGACAGGTGGCATGCTGTGCTCCCCCCTTGTCCCTGACATCTGTGACCCTGGGGGTCTGCACCAATGCTGGTGGCAGGAGCTGTGCCCCAGACCTGATGCAGGGATTCTGGCTGCCTTCCGCTCCCACGCTGTCACCACTCTCAGCCCTACATGGGCACATCCCCGGGTAGGGGAAGTGGCACCTGCCCTATGCCCAGCTTGGGGGGGCTGCAGTCCCTGCCTGCTGTGTGCTGGGTCACAGCTGTACCTGCACTGCTCTTCTGCTCTCAACTGTGCTGCACTGTGTGTGGGGTGGTGTGGTTGTGGGGCTGCTCCCTGCTCTCATGGCCTCTACCTTCCCCAGGACTACGTAGATGCGCTGCTCACCAACTACTGTGTAAGTGCTGAGGATGGAATCCTCGGTTGGATTCCCCGATCCCGTGGCACAGAGCTGCCTGTGACCCCTCATATCGCTCCTCCCCTCTGCCCAGATTTGGCCGCCGGTGCAGATCGCCAACTTCTACTTCGTCCCTCTGGTCCACAGGTAGCAGCACAGCCCCATGGCCACATGGATCCTGTTCCCCATGGCTATGGCTGACCCATCCATCTCTCTGTTCCCAGGTTGGCTGTCGTGCAGTGTGTTGCCATTGTCTGGAACTGCTACCTGTCCTGGAAAGCAAACCGGCTTTGAGGGGGGGGGAGCCATGCTCCAGGTGCCCCCACCCACCACCTCTGGGGGCTTGGCCAGGGAGTGTGTGGGGCTGGAGCACCGTGTGGTCCCCCACAGGGATGCTATGGCAGCAGTGACCCCGTGGGGCTGTGAGACCGCTCTGTCCACGCTCCGTGTCCTGCCTAGCACGTGGGGTGCTCCGTCCTTCCCCAGCCTTGCTGCTGGTTCACACCCCACGTGCGACAGTGCACTACAGTACCTCCACCCAGACTCGTGTCGGGTCCTTCAGGAGCACCCAATAAATGCAGCGCTCCGCTGCCCCTGGTAACGCATGAGTTCTCGGCCCCCTGCCTCCCCGTGGCGTTTTGGGCACGGGGATTCAGCCCTCGTCCCGCCGTTACCCCATCCTCGCCGGGCGCGGTGCCGCGGTGCCGTACCCCCGAGCCGCATGGCACCGCGCTCGCGCTATGAGTCACGCCGTTGGCCACCGCGGCTTCCTCGGGGCCGTCTGCAGCGCTTGGCCGCGGCGTGCGGGACCGGCGCGGTGCCAGGGGGGGTGCGCACCGGGGGAGGGAGGATTGGAGGGGGGACGTCGCGACGGTGCGGGGATACGGCACCCCATCTTCGACGGGAAACGCAGCCCCGACGGCCGCCTCGTCCCGACTGCGCTGCGCCCGGCGCTGCCCTTTCAGCACCACGGAGAGCGGCACCGGGAGAGGGGTGCGGGGTGCGGGCGCGAGCGGTGCGGGGCCGGGCGGGGTGCGGGGTGCGGGGGGTGAACGGGTACCGGAAAGGGTCCCGGAAAGGCCGCTCCCGGTCCCGGTGCGGTTTGGACCCGCCGCTCCCCCCAGCCCCGCACCCCCCGCCCCCGCCCGGTGCGTGCCCGCCGCTGACGTCAGCCCCGCTCCGAGCCCCATATAAAGCCCCGAGCGCGGCTCCGGCTCAGCCCCGCGGGGACGGACGGAGCTCCGCGCAGCGCACGGCGCCCAGAGCTCAGAGCAGCGGTACGGGCGGTGCGGGACGAAGCGGGACGGGGCGGGGCGGGACGGGGGACGCTCGGCCCCGGGGAAGCCCCGTCGGGTGCGGACTCCGCGCTGACCCCCTGCCCCGCAGGTGCGGACGAGCCGAAATGCGGCGGGCGCTGCTCACCGTTCTGCTGCTGCTGTGCCGCCCGTTCCCCGCCGCCCCCCGCCCCGCCCGCCCCGACGGCCCCGACGGTCCCGACGGCCCCGGTTCGGGGATCCCCGCGGCGGAGGGGAGGTCCGAAACACTGTGGCCGCCGCTGCCCGCGGAGCCGTGGAGGGCGAGGAGGGACGACCCGCCGCTTTCCATCGACCTCACGTTCCATCTTCTGCGGCACCTCCTGCTGCTCGCCCGCGCACAGAGCGAGCGCGCCCGCGCCGACACCAACCGCCGCATCCTCGACGCCGTGGGACGCTGAGCCCCGCGCCGGCACCGCACCGCGCCGGGACCGATCCGATGGGTGCGCGGCTGCGGGACTGCCCCTCGGGACGGCTCCGCTCCGATTTTGTAATAAAACGCTGTAGAAAAGCCGTAGTGTGGACTCGCATGCGGGACATCGTTTCCATCTGCGCCGCATCCCCAACTTCGGATATTGGTAAGACCCTCCCCGAGCCCCCCCGATCCAGGCTGAGTGGCCCCGATTGTGCCCCTATCCCCATCCAGCAGCCATCACTGCCCTCCATCCCCTTCTGCTGCTGAAGGCCGCAAGCCGAGCTGGGATCCGTGGGGCACAGAGACACGCGGTCCCTGTCCCCGTGCATCAGCGGTGACGTGGGGTGGCTGACGTGGTGCGGTGCGGCAGCGGGGTGGGGGCACGGGCCGTGACCCACCGGTAATTGCAGTGCTGTGTGCTCAGCCCGGCGCTGTTTGCTCGGTGCACCCAGGGGACGGTGCTGCCAGACAGCGCTGTGGGGGTGGCAGACGTGGGTGCTCCCCCCAGACACGGGGCTGCAGGCGGAGCGCAAAGCCCTGGGGCGAGGGGCACCCAACTCATCCCCACACACCACACCTCACAGTGTCCTCTGCATTGGTTTAATGAGGGCTGACGGCAGCTCCACCATGTGGGGCTCGTAGCAGTCGTAGGGCTGTAGGGTTTGTTGATGCCAACGTTGTGCTGTGAATCCAGCTCAGTGCTGACCTGCACCGGACATTGGCCTCAGCACTGTGATCAGCACAAAGTCCCCCTCCCATCTCATCCTCATCCCCATCTCATCCCCATCCCCAACCCCATCCCCATTCCATTCCCATCCCCATCATATCCCCATCCCATCCCTATCCTACCCCCATCCTCACTCCATCCCTCTCCCCATCC